ATATATATATATATATATATATATCACTGTCTTAATAATAATTCAGCCATATCGAGTAAGCTGAAAAATAAATAGATCTTTTTTATATTTCTATGGATACATTAAAAAAACTTGCCTGAAAAGAAGTTCATAATCTCTTCTTTTGTTGCTGACCAAGGAAGTCCTCGAACACGAAGAACATACCCCTCATTATCCTCGCTTGACATTTTGTTGTTTACTTTTGCTAAAAAGTATTAGAAGACAAAAAAGAAAAAAGTTTACAGTAAACAAAAAAAAAGGAATATAAAACATATCTAAAAATTAAGAACTAGAATTATTTCTGCCTGTCCTTTTTATCCCAATTGAATGATGTCCTCTTGCAGTGAGAGAAAAATTTTATACATGCATATATATTTATTTATTTATAAAACCAATAAATGTTCTACACTCATTATAGTTCAGTGTAATGATGTTAAGCAAAATCAGACATCTTACTTGTCTTGAACAATAACCAAATGACTCATCATTAACAACCTTTTTTAGATAGTTTTGTCAAACAGCAAAACCTATTTGATAGGTTTCTGAACCACAAAATTATTTCTCATAAAAAAAGAACATCACTTGACTTGTATTTGCAATTTTATAACTTCCATTTAATCAAACCAAATTCCAGTCTTAAAATAATGCAAAACCACAATCTTAGACAAGCCATAGCTGAAGTAAAGCACTTACCGTAATATTACAACTTTAAATGTCACATTTAAGAATAGTCCAATATTGTTTTGGTTCTGCATAGTTGTTAAAAATCACACAAAAAATTAGCATTACCAAAGCTAAGTGTCCTCAAAATGATCAACAATATTCTGGATTTAAAATTAGAGGAGGCCCAGGAGCCAATGACCCCCAAAACTGCTGGCAGGCCCCTAAAAAAGTGTCTGCTAGGTAGCCCACGTGACTCCTTAAAATCAAAAAAGCCATTAAAAGTTTGACTCCACATAAATTGATCTAAGTGTTTCTTAACCAAGCAGAACTTTTGACAAACCATGAATGGACCTTCCCAAGTTTACAAACACTCATCAGTCACATACAATCAACAAATGTACAACGACTGTTTAGCTTGAAGACATGCTAGCTATGCTGATGTACGATGTATATAGCATGTATAGCCTATCATGCCAACCAAACAGTGTGTTCATATAAAATTCCTTTGTTGGTATTTTGGTTTGAAAACTTTCAGGTCCAGAAAGTGAAAACTTTGGTTGAACTACTAACAAGGCTGCAAAGAAATTAAGTTTTAAGATTTTTGAGTGCTTTGATGAAATAATGTAGAGCTTAATGTTGTTGAAGCATGATAGACTGATCTACAAGCATGGTTGGTGAATAAGGTAAACAAGGAGAGTTGACACCTAGTAATAAACATCTGGGATAAACAGAGACAGTAAGGAGCTGGAGACTGGAAGTTCAGTGATAGAAAGAGAGATTGATATTGAAAATGAAGAAGGCTGCTCGCTGTTTATGAAGGCTTGAATATAAAAGGTGGCTGTTAATGTTGACAAAGAAGGTGTGAAGACTGTACCAAGGATATCCAGTTCACAGTTGACACAAGTTGTAAAAATAAGTGTGATAATTAGGGTCTGAAGTGATTGATTAATTATTGATAGGAGACGAATACACCTAAAATTTGCTTCGATTTATTAAAATTAATGGCAAAAAATTAAATTGCTTCAGTTGAATTAATACATAAAAATGTAATTTAAATTTTGAATATAGAATATGAACAGTCCTTCTCAGAACAGAGATCTTAAGATCCAATGAAAATAATTTAGCTGTAGTGGAGAACGAAAATGGAAGTACCTGAGAAAACCCACTTTTACTGATCAGGTTTAAAATATTCTACCTGATCAGTGCCTGAAATGCTGAGGGTTAAATGGAGATTATGAAACTTCTTCATACTTTTATTTTCCTAAAAAAAAAAGAATGGAGCAATATAGCTTGGGATTTAGATGGGTTGAGGGCTATATGCCACTTGTTGCACCAATCTGATACTGCATTGAGTGTTATTTGAATCTTAAATGTCACATATTGAGACCTAATTGTATGGTTTAAGGAAAGGAACAGCATATCATTGACAAAAAGGTAGTATACTTTTGGGCTTAACACCAACCATTGGAGGCCGCACTGTTGATCTTAAATTCAGCTATTGTGTCAGTAATAAAGCTGGATATCCAGCATACAATAGGGATGTGTATATGACTATCGATTAGTCTACAGAAAACTCCATTTTGCCATACTGAATCAAAGGCTTTTTGGACATCTAAAAAGGTAGCTATGGTTGTATGCTTTCTGTTGAAACCGTGATAGCTGGTTTTGGTAAGTCTAACGAGGAGGTCAGTAATTTGTCTACGTTTTCAGCCTAAATTCTACATGTTGTTAATAATATTGTTGGTTTCTAGGTAAGCATTTAACTGTGTCGTGATTAATTTCTCCATCAACTTACGAGGTAATGGGTCTTTAGCTGACAGAATTAGTTTGTTTTAGATGGGCAAAATCCTGATGGTAATGATAAATTATTACTAAGTGGGTTATATGATTTTATTGGATAGGTTTTCAGGATAGCTTTGTATTTATTTTTCTGAGGTTGTTTTTGGTTCCTGCTAAAGATATAGGGCAGGTATACAAATTGTTAAAAACCAGAAAGTTGTGATATAGAAACTGGGAAGTTCTATGAAAAAAAGGTGTTGATTATTAAAAATATGTTGATTTACAATGTTGAAATGTTTTGTGTCAAACTAGGCGATATTTGTAGTTAAAAAAAGGTACTTTTAAAATATTGGACAAAATATTCAGACTCTTTATCAGTAGTGGCAGTGTTTTTACTATATTAAATTGTATTTATGGTGTTTGATTTATTGTTTGTGTTAAATTTAAATTTCCACCAGAATTTGAAAAGGTCGGGTTGAGATTTATCTAAAGATAGTCAGAAGTTTTTCCAGTTAACGTGTTGTTGCCATAATATTAGTGTCTTAGCATTATTGAGTGATTTAGGTGTAATGTCATGAGTTCATATGAAGTTGTAAACATCATTGCAACTTTTATGATGTTAGCCAGGCACAACTGAAAGGTCAATATAATAAAAATAATAAATATATATAATATTATGAGATTTAAGCTATTTAGCCCAAACATTTATCTTTTTATATTATAATTTGTGTTCATTCTAGAATGAAAGAGGCATAATTTATATTTATTTCCAATTTTTTTATGGTGATTGCTAGATCACTCAAACCTACCAAACCTGTACAGAGATTAATTACTGAAAATAACGGATAAAAGTTTTTTTCTTAAGAAATGTTTGATAACTATCTCTACATTAGAAAGATTTCGCTTGTGAAATTTGAAAATTTTCTCATGCATAAAAGATTTTTTTTTTATCTTAAAATGAATATTACTTTGCATGATAGATAGGCAACATGCAAAAAAAAAAAAAGTCATGAGAACAACATTGCTTTACAAACCTTAAGACTTATTAAAAAAGTTTATATTTTGCATATGAAAGCACTGTGTAACTTCCACTATTTACTTCAGTGATTTTTCTGATAACTTCCACAATAGAGTATATTTTACAATGAGCTATAGGATTGGCTCCTAAAAATGCATGTTTTGTGGGCTCAACTGGCTCCCTAAAAAAAAAAAATAATTGTGAGCTCTGATATTTATCAAGTTCCAAGCAGGCAGCTCTCCATTCTTAACATTACACAATCTCATACTTAAACACGACTTATCTTCCTGAAAACCCACAACACCTTTCAACCAGAGACTCACAATACAGCTACTCCAGAATTGTAACATTATTACACAAACAGCTCACAATAACTAATACAGAATCCTCAGCTCACACTGGTGTTCTTGGGCAGTACTCTACTGAGATACCAAGGCCTGAATCTTGAGAAACCAAGTAAGTTTTCACCATTTAACATTTTCCACCTTCAAGGGTAAAATAAGTTAACTAACTTTCCAGGGAAACTGAAACTACTCTAAGTGTATGCAGCAATACAAAGATGTACACACTATTAGCTTCTATACCTAGATATGAAATCTATCTTCAAAAAAAGATTTGAGGCAAATATTTTCTTGATTAGAATATAACAATCAATTATAATAATTTATATCTAGCTATATATATATTTACATGTATGTACCTTTGTCTTCAAAAACAATTTCAGACTCATGCTTTCTTGTTTGCAGTTAGCTTTCTGCTTTGTTTTTCCCATTGGCATAGGATTGTAGAGCACTCTCTCCAATCGCATAGAGATTAAAGTCTGTGCATCCAATTTAAAATCAACTTCCTATTTCATTCCCACACGTTTTTTCATGTAGATTTTACGATGTTTTTGGCATGTGAAAATAATACAGTACCGGTACAAGCTGTTTTCAAGTGCTATTTCAGGATGTTTGTTAATGTTAGTGAGTTGCATGACAGATATCATTAACTTAATATTGTGGTTCCAGTGTTTCACACCACATTTCATTGCAAAAACATAACCACCTCGAGTGCATAGCTTTATACATGGTACGATTTTTTTTTCGAACTTGATTTAGATTTCCTTGAAATATTTAAGGAAATTGTCATTGCAATAGGCCATTACACAAATCTGAATAGGGCATGCATATAGCTAATAATGATATATTTATCAGCCCCACTAGTAGTAGTAGTACTACTAGTAGAGCTATGTCTAGCCTGGATATTTTTCATGCAAGTAAGGTGGAACCTTGATCAAGTTCATTTATAAGTGCTGTAAACTTTTACTTTCATTCATTTTAACTTAGCACTACAGTAAACATTCTAAGTCTTACCACCAACTGAATATTAATAATCATCTATAATTTAGTATAAAAGTGTAACAAATAATGTTAAGTTTGTATTTCTATGTCAGTTAAACTTAAAAAAAAAAAAAATTAAACTATAGTATAAAATAACCTCACTCACTCTCAGTCTCTGGAAATTGGAATGTAAATTGTGTGTTGAAGTGAAAGCTAGATCTTTTTAAATTATAAAGTATTTATATTTTTCAAAAAATTAAATAATTAAACTGATAGTATTCTTAGTTTTATATTTAAATAATTATAAGATAAATTAAACCGGGATGTAGGCCTAGCCATATTTTCTAGATTAATATAATTCGAAATTATAATATACAACTACAACTTCAGTACAACTTACAAGTACAATGGCCGCTCAAGAGACGGCGAACACATATTTAATGACTGAATGAAGTATTATTACTACAACGCAATATAAAACGAAACTATAACCTTCGCATAAAAATAATTAACTAAGGCATATCAAAATCTAGCATTTTCTTAAAACAAAAACTTCTAAGATTAACAAACATATACTTACCCTAAAAGTAACACTGATAACGCAATAACTTAAGTCATGGACTAACTCGTACTTGAAGCAAGTTCTCTTTGTTTCACCCTATGATAAACCAAAAAGTAGTTCAAAATACACAAAAAATAGTTCTTAACCACACTTTTATAGTAATTTTAAAACACGAGTTGAAGCTTATGTTTAAATTAAATTTTCAGTTGTATACGGTTTTATTTAAAATTATGTAATGTAATGAATTTAATACAACATTTTAAAATATTTGTGCATGCACTTGTCCATTAATATTGAGATTATTACAAATCTGATTCTGGCATATGTTATTATGTCTCCACAAAGAGACATACTGTTTTTCCATTGTTTCTTCTTCCAAACACTTTTCAAGCGACCACTATTCCTTCATTTCTTGGCAGAATGACTTGTAACTTCGTAGAGTTAAACCCTGATCCAATAATCCCAACCACCTTTTTATTTTTTATTTTATTTTTTTATTTAGGCCTTTTTAAGAAAGCTTTTCGAGGTCAAAGGTCAAACAACCCAAAAATGTATATTTTGGGCTCCTGTACGGTCATATTTACAGAAATCAAGATGAAAATTGCCACAAATATAAATTTTCATGCGAACACCACATTGACATAAAAAAGTTGGATCTACCCATTTTGAGTCTTTTTATGGGGGTCAGACCTAACAAAAGAGCATCAATTTGAGATTTTTCGTCAATTCCTCGGCCATATTTTGACCAGTTTTTATAGGATTTGGTACAAAAAATCCTTTTCTGCAGGTTCACACATTGACAAACAAAAGTGGTGGGCTTACACATTTTTAGTAATTATAGGAGGGTTAAGATACCACAAAAAAAGCAATTTGTAGGATATTTTTTGACAATTACTCTGATGTATTTCGGCCAATTTACATGGGATTTTGTGTAAAGATACATTTTACGGGTCCCATACATATACACACAATAAAGTGGGATATGCCCATTTTTCGTCATTTTAAAGGGGGGGGGTCAAATAGTTAAATAAACCCATAATTTTAGATGTTTTAGTCAATTACTTAGCCTTGTTTCGACCAACTTACATGGAATTTAGTACAGAAAGGCTCTTTGCAAATCCCAAACAGACATATAGATCATTTCGGAATTTTTGCCTTTTGCTCAATTTTTCAGCCGGGAAAGTACAATTTTGGGGTTTTCGTGAACTATTTGTATGTATGTCAACCAACTTACAACCAACCAACC